ACAACTGTTAATTTTTTCCCTACCACCACGCTGTGAAAGAAAGAATGTCGTGGAATGGTGAGTCAACAACCCCGGACTCTAGTAGTAGCTGTTAAATTTATTAGTTGTGCTTGTTAGCCTTGGTTTCCTCTTCTATAAAAATGAGATGTTGAATTGTCTTTTAGGTTTCTTCTAACTTGATGAATTTATCATTATTCATATATATTTTTTTGGATCCTATTCTAACCCTAAATTTAGAAAAAGTTGTATTTGTTACCCAAGAAGCACTGATTTCCACACAGGTTGGGGTCAATACTCTCATGCTAGTATATCTAAGAAAGAGAGTCAGCAAGTTCTGCACCCTGTTCCTTGGAAGAACAAAGGCAGGTGCCGTGTGTGAATCTGTAGAAGGCATTCCACTTCCACACAACGGGGCTATGACTCCCTGAAATGCATCTTGTCGTGGGCTAGGCTTGACACTTCTGGACTTCAGAACCGGCTCACACACATTCCACATTCGCCCGTCAGCCCGCAGGGGGCCTTCTGTATTTGAAGTGCCTGCCTGGAGGTGCTTGGCAACAGGTGAGGGCCACTGCCATCCAAGCCCAGGGACATTCATAGGCCAGGTCCTGGCCCTAGTTGAGGAGTCAATGAATTCAAACTGTCAGATGCAGGGGTTCCTGAGAGAATAAATGGGTGTTTGCAGCCTGTGATTTTTTCCCCCTTTTTGTAGAAACCCATATTTTTAAAATTTTGGAAATTGGTGGTATAAATAGGTGGAAAATAGAGAATGTCATTTCTCACTAATGGTTGTGCACAAGAATTCCATCCTTGATGATTAAAACTCTTAAGTTAGAAGTTTTTGAGGATTCGTGGAGATCTAGCTGAGGAAGACTGGCCATGTCAAAATAATTTCTCCACAGTTCCAAAGACAGGATAAAGGTGGATTCTGAAAAACACAATGGACTTGCAAAGATGGATGGACTGCTGAACACATTCTTTGTACTTAGCAAAAGGAAGCATGATCTCTAGGAACTGGTGTAAATGCCCTAGAAATTAAAGTTTATTTTTATGGCTAAGAGTCATATGTTAGGGCTTTGAGTACCTGATATATTGGTTGGTATATTTCATGTTATCTTTGTGGATAAGTTGAAGAAGTGTGGGTGAGACTGCAGTAGTCAAATGAATTTATGTGTGTTGAATAGCGACACCAATAAGCACGAACTTTTACAAGATTGCTGGAGGGCCTGGAAGACATGGTGATAGAACTGGAAATATTTAGTCTGGAAAAGAAAACAATTTCTTATCGTTCCCCCTTGGAAGGGGTAGCCCTAGCAGCTACCCCTTCCGAGCTATGCGTCAAATATTTTTAACGGCTCTATCACTGAAGAGGAATTAGACATTCCTTATATCTCAGGGAGGACATTTTCGGACCAGGGAGGCAGAATTTTCTTAGCAGAAGGAAAAATGTTTCTGTCAATGAGTTTAACGGAAGGGACTGTCTTTTGAGGGAGCAAATACACTTCCCGGCCAAGTTCCAGCAGAGGCTGGCCACCTGTCTCTGACACTGCCTAGCGATGGCTTCCACTGACAAGGAAGTTGGGCAAGATGATTTCTTCTGGTCCTTTATAAACGTTTAGATGCTGAGATAAGGTTAAAGGGAGTCAGTCAATGGTCAGAAAAAGCAAAGGGACATCTTCCGCTCTGTCGTCATGACTCAAGGAGCATGTTCTGTTTTGTCACAGAAAAGGTTTACATGCCCAGGTGCCCTGCCTTCCAGATGAACCAGGAATGAGCAAGTCTTCTCAAAGCCACGAATAACAAGTATTTCCCGAAAGCATTACAGCAAGATAAAAGCCACTAGAAAAGAGCAGCATTTTTTTTTCTTTATGCAAAAGTAAAAAATGTTTCTCAAATATATGCTGTCCAATCCAATCAGAATTTTGACCGCCATGTAATAATTTGAACCACAAATACTGAATTTTCTCTCATGTTCTAGTAGCAGTTTGTCTCAAAACTAGATACCTTTGCATATATAAGTAAATATTTTCTTCATGTCCAATGTTATCCACGAGTTTTCCTTTTTCTTTCATAGTCAGATGGTTCAAGGTCATGATTCTTAGTTTAGGAAGTTGGTAGGTTTGGAACTCTTTTGACTGTATAGACTGCATTAAGAAATACAGTTTATGCCACTCCCCGGGATCATATATGCATTATAACCGAAATTGAATATTCGAGAAATGACACTTATACCTACCCACTAGTATAATACTCTGACATTTTCAATTCAATTCATTAGTAGTTAAATAGTGTTCATGCCCCACTAATTTCACAGAATTTCCAGGTTGAAAAGCACCGCTCTAATCAATAGTCTCTGAAAACTCAAATAATGGCAGGATAAATGAGAGAACTTAGATCTTGTCACATAGGACATTTGGTAAACTTGCTACAGAAAGAGAATTTTTCGCATACATATCATATGGCAAGTCCCTGGATTTGCGATATATTCCCACTGTCCTCTTTCATTCCTCTTCCTATCTTTACTGCCCCTCACCCTTCTTCCCACAGAAAACCACACACTTTGTCAGCAGCCTCTTGCAACACGGAAGACTGAGAGAGAGATGCAGAGATAGGCCGCGCTCCTTCTGTGCGCCTTGCAGCTTGGCATCCAGGAAAGCAAATTCTAGCCCCAAGCACGTCTGTTGACAAGCGCTTTCACAGGGCTGCCGCGGTAATGGGATTGCGGGTGCGCTGCTCTGAGCTGTCTGGGTAACCGTTCTTTTATTAGCAGGAAGGCAAATGCAGTTTTTAAGATCAAAGTGGACACCTCTAGGAAGCTACATTTATTACTAAAAGCTAAAATGTCCACATTCCCAGGAATCAAAGGGACTTAAAGCAGAAAGACGGTAATATGCAATAGACGAACGCAGTCTTTGACAGGACAGCACCGCCTAAGTAGGTGACAGGAACAGGAGGTTAAGTAGTTCCGGAAGTCACCAATTCTGCCAGGTCTGGGGTTAAGCGCGAAGCTTGATGTTGTGACAGCCACGGCCCAGGTCTGCCTGACAGACATTCCCACGGACCGCGCAGGCACTGAGACCACTCTTACAGTTTTTTATACTTTTATGATTTTCACCGTTGGAGATTCCTTTGGCAGCATTTTGATCCCACTGTTTCAGAAAGGCCCCCTCTGCTGTCGCTGCATAAGTAACGTAAACGGTCATTATAATTGCAGTATTTGGAAAGCCATCATGGATGAATTCTAGCCCCTAAAACACGGTCACCTCAGCTAGCAGCAGCCAAACCGTGGCTCTTCTGCGGGTGTGGGCAGCCGCCTAACGGCAGCTACCCTTGGCATTCAGGGCTCTTTTGTACGCCCCCCCCCACACGTTTTTTATTTTTAGCATTTGAAACAGTTTTTTTTGTTTTATTTTCTTCCTCTTATCTATTTTTTAAATTGGCAAATAGAAATTGATTGCATATATTTACGGTGCACAACATGACGCTTTGCAATACGTGTGCGTCATGGAATGGCTACATCAAGCCAGTCGCCACATGTGTCATCTCACACGCTCATTATCTGTCCCAGCTTAAGCCCTTTTGTCACGATGTGCAGATGGTTACCTTCGGGGAAGTCTGAAGAGCACCTCTCATCCGGGCCCACTTCATATGCTTCCTAGAAGCTCCTTTGCTGAGATCCCTAAAAAATTTTTCTGGAAGTTTTGAATAGCTATGGGATTTCGTCCAAAGCATTTGGGGAAGTCACAGAGGTCTTTCGTTTTATTTTATTTTCAAAAACTCTCCCATAGGTTGAGGGTCTGAGTCAGAGGCCTACCTCCAGAAGAGTTCTGGGTGTGTAATGAAGATATTTCATTTTACAATGAAGGAAACATTTTATCGGGCTAATGCCTATCAGAAGCCTCCTTGCTTCCCCAGGAGTTCAGCTTTCCAGAGACTAGAACTTAAAGAAACATAATAGTCATGAAATGTTGACTGTAATTTAAAGTGTTGGTGTCACAGAAGTGGTCCTGGTACACAGTAACTTCTTTGCAGCAAACTTTTATGGCCCGTATTATTGATGAAAAGGCAGTGTTATTTTAATGCATTTTAAATGGACTCTTACAGAGTGTGCAAAGCCTTGATCACAGACATTTTTCTTGTACTAAGAAAAAAATATAAATATATACCATAGTCTTAAAATTGTAAAGGTTTTAATGAGATCAAAGGGTGCAACATGAGGAATAGATAATAGTATGCCCTGGGCAATCTTTGGGCTGTTGGAAAAAGTTTACCGTTCACCAATAGTGGTCCTGATAGTTTGTCAACCTGAACCATATTTTTTTTTTTCTGTTTCTTGAAATGCACAATTCATGAAAGAAATGAAAGAATTTAGTTTGGTGGAAATTAATAGATTATTGTTATATATTCCTCTCGATGTAGTATGTACTTAAGTTAGGGGCAGAGTTAGCAAACACTGTTTGCTCTGGATGCATCATTTTGATTGAGTTCCCCGGGTTGAAGCTACAGAGCACCTGCTCAGGAGCACGGCCCTCCACCATAAATAGTCAGCTCCCAACAGGGTGCAGAAGGTAGGCTGAGCACTGGTTCATATTCTGTATCAATCGCCAATAAAAGAAAAATAAAAGAGTGAATTTCAATAACCCTTAAAGGAAAATAGACGGAACAGAAAGAACTGAGAAGAAGGACAAAGCATCTGACAGGGCACACGCCTGCCTTCTCCGTGCCCTTCCTGTTAAGGATGCGCTTTCCCGACTCTCTCATCTGCACTTCCTCTCCGGCCTGGCAGAGCCGGAGCAGGGCTGATCCCAGTATTCGGCGCAGCGCGCAAGTGTCTACAGCTCGTCGGTCTGACCTTTCTCTGGCGTTTGGCATGTTGCTGCCACCCGCGTTATCCCATTTTATTAGACATCACTTTCCTCATGGGACCCAGGGTTGACGCACCCCGAAGGAGTGACCTGCCCTCTCCCTCTCCCTCGGCGCCTCCCTCGGCCGCTACTCACTCGAAAGGGTCGCTGGGATCCGCCCTCTGCAGCTCGGGAGGGATGGGGATTCTTTTGTAGTACATTTCCCAGTCGAAGGCTCCTCGCATGGCGTCCCCCGCCTGGGCCTCGTACCCAAAGTGATTGTGGTCAATGACATCGATCATGGGACACACGATGGTTTTGTGGTTTAGTGCAATTTGGTCTGAAAAATGAAAGCACAAAATAGGAAATGACATGCCCGCCTAGGTCGTCCATCATTCTGCAGCAGAGAGAAGCCTGCAGCTCCCCGGCTAACGCACGGCGCTCGCGGCCTCGCTCCCTGCCGTCCTCCCAGCACTTTGCGGGAACCTCTGATCGAGCGCTGGACTTAACGTGATGGGACAGTGACCAGGTACAATTAGAGCTGCTGCATTTTCCTTTAAGAAAGTTACGTCCCAGAGAGACTTGCAGAAGCCCATTTAGCTCTCCCTCTGTCACATTTTTGCTTTGACCTGTCCCCAATCTGTCAATTTCCCGTGCATCCAGCATGCGCAGAGCACAAACAGTATTTGTGTTCCTTCGAGCATATAGCCACAGCCTGCTGAGAAAATGCTGGCCTGCTTTCTGAGGGTTCCAAGATGTAAATATTTAACTTCATGGTTTTTGTGGCATCTAATCTCGTAACAGTCATGATGCCCGTTCCCCCCAAATGCTGACAGTTCATGCGTAGAATTCTTTGCTTTGGGGTTTGTCAGAGATTTTGCCAAGTCTTATTTTGCCACTGAACTTTGAGGCAGACTCTATTTGTGAAAGTTATACATTTTTATCCTCCTTCATCCTATCCAAAAAGTGTTAGGTGGTATGATACTACTGCTATTACTCCTTCTACTATTAAGTTCTTGAGCAGCTACTAAGTAATTCACACTCATGCTATTTCTAATGCTCCACGAGCAGCCCCCCCCCCCATAGGATGCCTATTATTGACATCTGCAATTTGTGTGTGAAGAAGCTGAGCTCAGGGAAGCTAAATAACTTGTCAAGGGTTACTCAGCTTTTGAGAGCAATAACCAAGATGCAACGCTGCTCAACAGTCCAGTCCCCAAACCAAACCTTTCTGTGGTGCTTCTCATGGTAGCAGAGGGGTGACTTTTTTGTTGTTGTTCAGTTTCAGCACCTTCCTTTCCCAAGCAGGTAGTGCTATTGTGATAGCATTAGCAGCCGGTGCAGGGAATTGGCATTTGCGTACTTTGGTTCACCTAGAATAGCTATCTGGGAAGTATCTTTCTTTCCAAGAATGTGCATTTATGCAATATTTATTAATAAAAAGCCAATACTGCCTAACAGGCAGAACTTTGACGTCCAAACACCTGCTCTCATCATCTGGAAGACCTTTGGATGCGGCACGCAACACTAAACTGAGAAATGATAGAGATCAATTAGAACTATTCTGAGGTTTGGTGGTTTCCATATCACATTTTCTCCAGGGGGCCTGGAGTAAACGTCATCCGTGTTGGGGATGAAGCTCTTACAATAAGGAAACTGTCCATTTGCTCCAGAAGTTTCTCCTAATCACAGGGCAGGAAGCACAAGGTTTTATTGGCTGGAATAACAAGTAGCTTAATTTTCATAAAACAGGGTGTGGAAACCAAAGGATCCTGTGGAATATTTCACCTCTAGCTCTATGTGGCTTTTCATTCACGCATCTGTCCTTTTCCTGTTTCAACAATTATATTTTTTGTTGATTAGAAACTCTGTGCCAGCCCCTTTTTCTAGGTTCTGGGGACACAGCAGCGAGTAACACCACAAAAAAGCCCTGTCTTCAGGAATGAAGCAAAGACAGTTACTAAACATCATAAATAACGAAATTATTTAGTGTTTTAGAAGGCTGATAAATGAAATGGAAAAAAATAACACAGGGTAAGGGGGATGCAGGATACTGGGATGTGGAAAGGGCTGCAACTCTAGATGGCACAGCCCAGTGAGCCTGAGAGCACCCCAGGTGGCCTTTCCCGTCTCCCAGCTAATGAGTAGACAGAGAGACCCCTCCCAGCCCCCCATTTCTGGTTAATCTCCATCAAGGACTCTCTGAGCATCCCTTTTCACCTGGGCAAGTCTTCTAATGGGTTTTAATCTTTATCCAAATGGTGTTTCCCCAGAGTTGTCTTTGACATATGAGACCATTCCTGCTGTGTCCCAAATATTTCTGCTGTCACCCCTGTAGGCCTTTTAGTATTAAGGTTTCAGTGACTTTCTTCCATCAAATTTGGAATCAGGTTTGATTTACAAGTTCCTTGACCAACAAAGAGTCCCAAGGTGACCCAAAGAGAATGTGTCTGTTAAATGAACTGTCAACTTTCCCTTCGGATTTCCTTTCAGCTCTCATCCCGCCACACTAGCTTAGGCTGAGAGCAGCATGACTAATTTTTCATCCAAGGCTTGTGCCTACATTTCAATTTCCAGGGATCAAACAAACAGACTCTTAATGGGAAATTGAAATTCAGGTATAATCCCAAGGTGAAAAATGAACCAAGGGACTGTGTGGCTCCACCTGTTTTTTTTCATTTTGGATGATGTATCGAGGCACTGATAGAGAAAAATAAGAAAAGATAGTGATCCCACGCTTGGATCATTTCTTAGCCATCAGCCCTGCAGGAAATGAAATGCTTTAATGAGAAAAAGTGGGTGGTGGGTTTCTCTTATTCTCTTTTTCTTTTTTCCTGTTTTTCTCCTCGCGTTTGGTTGACACACTGTGAACAATCAGAGACTCGATAATTGGCATTTGGGGATTGCTTTGGTTCATAAATAAATTAGCCCTTTTGCTGACTTCTTGAGTATTCAGCACCATATAGGTCAAATTCAGTTTGAGGGAATCTCACCGTTGCTGATGAAGCTCTAAATTGCTATGTCCTTGGACAAGGTACTTTTAATTAAAAGCTTGGAGGAGTCTGGCTGCAAGAGCACTGAAACAGCCGTTGATTAGGGTGGCTGGGCAGTCCTCCCTCCGTGCAGGGGCCTGTGGATTGGTGATGTGGTGGGTGGGGCGTCTTGGACACTGTTGTTTCCTTTTTAAAACCCTATACAGTTTCCATTGATTCCTCCCCCTCCGTCTCTTACTAAGGGAGCTCTGCTGAAAGCCTACACCGCAGTCAATAGCAAATCATTCTTTCCGAGGCAGCTACTGTGAAGGCAGCTGTTAGTGGCTTTACTTCCAGGGCCAGGGATATGTTTACGATAAAAGTTGATTTATCGAAATCTGGAAGAATAGGAAGGAGTACAATACGTGTACACCAAGAACTTCTTAGAAAGAGATTTTTTTCAGGCTCACAATGTATTTATCATCCACAACTGGACTTTATATCTGACTTCATTGTAAAATAAAAAGCAAGCATAGTGAAGCTTGAACTGAGTCACACATATGCTTTCTAGCTTAAATTACTTTCGGTTTTGTGTTTCCAACCGTTCAAGTGCAGTCTGACATAGCCTTCTTCTTTCTGTCTTCATCTTACCGTGAACATTTAAGATATATCAACAGGGTAGCAGCTCTGAGTGTTTGAGAGGGTCTATGTATAAATAAATATGGGGGCGTGGTTATATATTTAGGGATAATCTGCTGCCAGAAGTAGAAAGAGTAACAAAAAAAGGAATCGCGTTATAAATCCGAGAAAATGTCAAGGTGTTTACATCTTAACCGTATTCTGAGGCTGAATAATTTTTCTGCCTCATGTCTTAACAACTATGCAATACTTGTTAAATGTGTGTGTGTGTTTTAGACACTATTTAGTCACGCATTTAACAAGTATTGATAGCTTCGTGGTTACAAAATGACAATACAAAAGAATTTGGGGGTCCTTTTTTCTTTTAGTGTTTACCCAGTGAATAAGACGACAATAAAGGAAGACTTCTAAGATAAATGAGACCTTTTTGCACCTTAAGTTTGATTGTGGTTGACATTATACAAAATGTCAGTTTTAATGCAGTTTTCTAGTTAATGCTGTCCTCAGCAGTGGTTAAGATACTCTAGTTCTAATAACTCTAATACTAATTCAAGGTTTCCGCTGGAAAAGCTGTAGCAGGGACCGTTGTCTGTGCGGATTGCAAGCTCCATGGAAGCCGGCGAGCCCCCCGGGGACCGCGGCCTCCCCGGGCCCTCGTGGACGGGGACTCACCGAGCAGCGGCGGCAGCCAGTTCACGTTGACCTCGCAGTGGGAGTCCAGGAAGGTCAGCACCTGGCCTCTGGCCATCGACGCCCCCAGGAGCCGCGTCCGGATGAGCCCTTCCCTTTTCTTGGTGCGAACGATCCTCACCTTGGAAAATCGGGCCATGTATTCTTCTAACTTATCCTTGAGGTGATCTACGAAAGAAATCGGGGATGCACAGAAAGAACGCAAAGACGTTAGTTGCTGCGGAATATTCGTGGTCGTCAGTGCACGGTGACGGTGCCAATGCCGAATCCCAACGGAAAGCGTCGGAAGTTTGCGTTTCTCATTTCTTCACGTAGAAGGGAGATACTAATAAGATTGTATGCCTGGAGGTGTTTAGACTTTACGCTTTCCAAAATGCATCACAGGCGGCAAATATTGCCACTAGTTTGAACATGGGAGAAGTCCCCGACGCCCAGGGCTCCAGCCCAGCCGCGCAGCCCGCGCGTGCGCTCCTTCCAAAGAGAGGGCGAGGCTGGTCGGCGGCAAGGCTTTGCCTCGGGTTCTGTGTGCTGGGACAATGCACGCCAAGCAACAGGCAAGAAAAATATCTGTCACATCAGCAAGAACCAAACGGGTTTCCACCCCGCAGAAGGCATAATAGCACACCTGTAAGGAAGTTCAGCGCCTGCCTTCTGACTTGAAGCAGAAAGGCCGGACTCGGTGTTAAAATAGACACGGAAAGGGGAAGGCAGCCGAAATACTACACGGTCATTTTGAACTCAGGTATTTAAGATTTGGAAATATTTCTTTGCTATTTAAATTTGGAAAAATGTTTCCCTCCCTAATTAAAAACAAACAGTGGGGAGAAAAAAATCAGATACCTTATTCAAAGAATGAAAGATGTACCACAGGCTGTGATAAAATGCATCAATCTCTCAGTTCTTTTTATGCCAAATAAGAGCATTTGGCGGCTTTCTGTGGGACATGTACTTATATATTTTACCTCTTCTACTTTCACTCTCCCATATCTAAGGCATTACCAGGGCTTTCTTGGAATTTCTGATGAGTGTAGCCCAATAGTCGTTGAAATGGAATCTTAATATGCAATACACTCCGTATTTTTCACTTTCCAAACTTTCTCTGCATGTTCGTAATCAGAGGCAATATTGTTATTAAGTCTCTGCTCAGGGTCCTTAGCAACAGGGATTCATGTAGGATTTATGATTCCTTCCTGCTATCCAATTTAACAGCTGTCAGATTACTTTGTATTGGAGTTTCTCTGTACATAAGGGTTTATTCTCATTCTTGGTTCTTATTATCAGTGTAGTTTTAAACAAATCTTAATTTCATTTTTTCTTGACATCTCTATATGTTTTACAAATGTGTTACTTAAAACAGTATTTAGCTTTCTAATTTTCACTGTAAAAGAATAGAGATGGGATTTTCACAAGAGTGTTTTAGCTCAAAATATGTTTCCCTCTATTTTGTTTTTCCTCTCCTGGAGATATAGACATCAAAATATGGAAAGCAAGGACTCCAGGATTTGGAATCAGTATAGACCTGGGAGGGAGAGCTGTAACAGTGATATATATACATATATGTATATATGTATATGTATGTAGGTAGGTTGTGCAAGCTCCCTAAGCCTGAGTTTCCTCACCTATAAATATAAGGGACTTGGGGGATTGGTTTGTCCTCTTACAGTGTGGTGGACTACCAAGCTTCGATTTGGGCTTTGGTTAGAGATGTGCCAGTGTTCATTCAACAGACATTTACGTAGTTAGTCAATAACTGGAGACTCTAGTAAAGCCACTTGTACTTATGAAGAGAAACCGCCTACTTTGTATCTGAAGAAATACCTTTGAATGTTAAGCCTGAAAGACAAAAAATATAGAATTTTCTATTTCTTGGCGAGATGTTGATAATTAATCTGGTATCTATTGCAGATATAAAGAAAAAGTTTCGGCAAGCAATAAACTAACACATACGAGCATATAAGGAGTATTCAGTATCTCAACCGATGGGCTGGTTCCACTGCGTCTCCCTTTGTCCTGACCCAGGTCTGCCGCACAGAGCCTGCTTCCTGTCCACCCCACTTTGCTCCCTGCTCCCGGTCACGGTGCTCTCGAGATTCTAAAGGACTGTACAAGACAGTGTCACCTGTGAATAAAACTAAAGCTTTGCTATCTTGTCGGGGAAAAATGGCTAGAGTGGCTAGAGTCGCACAATCAAAGGCGATGGCTGAGTGCTATGAGATCAGCCTGAGAATGCTGTCACATGTCAGAGTCTTTAAAGGCCCGGTTCTGTAATGATTCTCACAGTAATAAACAGTTAAGAAAACTTTATGATCTCATTACTGTCATTCATTCACGCTCCAAATCTTTCTGCATCTCCAACTTGCAAACAAGTGGCATTCCATAAGTTTATCTGTAAATTGGATGTTTGGACCACAGAAAGTATTGTCTCATGGAAGTAGTGTTTCAACAGTCATTGGGACTAAAAGTAGGTCACAGGATGTTTGATAAGTTCACCAAAATCATGTTTTCTCCCCTTTCTTTAAACTTTGCTGTTCATTTGTCAAATGCACCGCTATGGGTACCATCTCGGCAGTCCCAGGCGCATTTGTTTCTTCCTTCCCTGACCCCTGAGGACTAACAGGGCCTCTCCTGGGAGAGAGGAGAAGTAATTTTCTATAGCTGCCTTAGAGGAAGTAATTCTAGAATATTCTCACTTGCCGGGTGTTCCAGAGTGAGAATCAAAGAGTCATTAGTCACCTGGGAGTGGCTGTCCCAACTTTAGGTTTGGACTTTCACATTCTTTGGTTTATAGGAAACTCTCTGGAACTCAGCACAGGCTGTCTCTACATGTTTTCTTTTTTCTTCTGTGCACACTTTCTGATACTGCGTGTTTTTCTCATATCAAAGCCCATTTTAAGGTACTAAAATGAGTGTATGGTGTGAATTTACTAAGAACAGGGAGTTTGACCCCCAGTAGAGTCCACTAGATGTTCAGATCAAATCCTCTAGCTTGAACTTTATGGTGATAATTGGCTTGCTTTGCCTCAGATAATGATCTGGTTGACTGCGCTTTGTGGGGTCTATTCTCTCTTAGTAGTTCAGCTGTAACATCTAATTACCCATAACTCACCACGAAGGCAGGTATCATCAGTCTAATTAGCAAATTAAACTCTCAGACAAGGGAGTTGCTGGAGATGGCTTTAAATTAAAAATATTTTGCCTTTCTTTTGTGTGAACAATTTTTAGATTCATCTATAAGCATTATTAACATGATTTTAAACGTGACTTTACATTAATTTTTAATTCAAGCGTAGAATCTTTGAAGTCCACTTTTGAACTCATTTAATTCTAAATAACACCAAGAGAATTTCTGGTATTTTTAAAAGGCAGGCAGATTTCCCTAGTGACTATGGGATATTTGTAGAACTGTGTTTTTGGTCAGTGGTCCTAGACGACTAGTGCGTATATTACTGCTTAAATCCCCTGAATAGCGTTTCCACGTTTCAATAGTGTTTCCAGAAGAGTTCACCCAGAAGAGTGAACACAATTTCAAAAATACCAGTTTGTGCCAGGGTTTATTGCAGCACTGTGGGGTGGTAATGAGGTGAAAAGTTGTACACAAAGTAAATGTTGGTATACTGTGAGTGATAAATTTAGCAGTTTTCTGGTATGTATTTTTCTCTTTTTTCAGAAATTTCACTTATGCTTCATGAATTTATATGGGGAATATATACCATTCATTAGTGAATTTAGTGTTTAGGGTAGCAACTAAATGCTAAAAAAAAAAAAAAAAATCACCTTCAGTGATTTGCATAGTCAAGAGTCAAAGACTCGGGTTCTAATTCTGCTCCTGCCTGGCCCTGTGGCTTTGGGTCAGTCACTTCACACCATTCAACCTCATTTTCCCCAGCTCTAAGGTGAAGGGAATGCGACAGGATGATCTGAAATATTCCTTCTAGTTTTATGATTCTGCGACTTCCCTTGTGAAGTTTTACTTACCAAGTAGATATAGTCTCATCACAAACTTAGTTTTTCCTAAAGGCATCTTTCATGGTTGTTATTCTGATGTTTTCCTTTGGCCGTGTCTCACTTTTGAAAGTAAGAGTCAAATCAAAAGAAAGCTAACACATACCAGGGGTTTAGTCAAAACACAAACTCCAGGACGTTTTCTTTGGTCAATACGGCACCTGTCTGATCTCCTGCGGTTCACCGTCTATACGGCTGTCACTGATGTCAAAATAATGACTTTGGAGCACTGCAAGTTCATCAAAGATTTAAGTCTGTTCAATAAGTTATGCTTAATATGTCAGAAGTACACAGCAGCAGAGTTGAGAAAGCTTTCGAGTCTACCTATGAGAAATTGTTCCCAAGGGGGCAGGCAAGCTAGTGACCGTCGCTGTTACAGCGCCTGGCTGGGACCTTCCCAGGGGGGGACCCACCAAAGCCCAGCAGGCAATCAGCTGTCCCCGGCTCAGCAGCTGGCGGGAGGCCCAGCAACTTGTCACCAAGTTTTGCCCATCTCCTTTGAGTTCCCTAATTAGTATCTCAAGGGGAGAACAGGAGGGGCAGGGAGACAGGATTGATCTGGAGATATGGATTTCTATATGAAGATTTCATACACCTATGAAGATGAAATCCCTTTGATGTTTATACTTTGGTGTTTGCAGGTTGCCTTCTTTGAGATCATATAGGCTATGTGTCGATTCTTAAGAATGATGATTAGTTATGAGTTATGAAATACAGTTGGATTATAAATAATATCTTAAACTTTTCTGGGCAATCCTCATACAACAAGAATTTACTATTAAGTGTGACTCTAAACGTTCTAAGTAATTTGGGGTTTGACCACAGTGATAAGACTACTTCACAATTAGAGAACATAAGATATTCTTCCATTTATTCATCTACTTGGCATATGTCATGTGTATATTTTGACCCAAAGTAGAAATGTTAAGGGTAACTGTCTACTTAACAGGATCTGTGGAGATTTTTTTCTTTATTCTTTACACAGGAGAAATATACAGATTTTAAGACTCTAGTTGAATTCCAGAAAATTGTCAATTTCTTTGTGTCCTGGTTGACCACACTGAATCTGTCCCTTTTGATGGCATTCAAATACAGACACTTCACATTTATCTCTAGAGAACAAAAAAACCCATCCAAGAAAGTAATAGAATTGATGAAACCGTGTT